CAACACACATATGTACATACTTCAACACTATATATACCTCTAATGCTACGAAATACAGTTTTCCCTGGGGGAATTTTCTATTCTCATTTTACTTGTATACTCTCGCTACAACAGGTGGTATCCCTTCAAATGAACAGTGTATACTGGCCGTTGAAGAACAACTCAAGCAAATTGATGAAGTCCAATCAGAATTCAAGTTATGTCTAGAAGAGGCTCAAGAATCGCTCAAGAATCAATGAAGGCTCAATTCAACAAAGGCGTGAAGGACACCCCAAATTGGAATGTTGGCAAAGAGGTTTGGCTGAACAGCAGGAATATTTTGACAACAAGACTCAGCCCCAAGCGGTACCACCAATGGCTGGGGCCATTTCAAATCTCTAAGAAAATATCCCAATCTGCCTACAAACTGACTTTGCCACTATCCATGCAGGGTGTTCACCCGGTGTTCCATGTTTCAGTACTGCAAAAGCACAGCTCAGACACCATCACTGGACGACGCCACACATCACCAGAGCCGGTACAGGTCAACAAAGATAAGGGGTGGGAAGTAGAAGGCGCACTGGACTGTTGGAAAAGAGGGAAGACAGTTGAATACTTGGTCAGCTGGAAAGGATTTGGACCAGAGGAGAACTCGTGGGAACCGGTGGACAACTTGGAACACTGCCAAGAATTGGTTCCTGAATTCAACACCAAATTTCCAGATGCGGCGTCAAGACACAAGAGTTCACAGAGAATGAAGTGAGAGGGAAAGCTTTTTCCCACTGGGTTTTTGAATGCTGCCCGGTGTGGAACTGCTCAGCAAGTGAGTAAAGAGCTTGGAGGGGATAAAATAGCTAATAAGACTATGAAATAGTAGAATTAGTATATGTGTGTGGGTGAGACTTCCCTCCTTTCTAGCTTGCAGGAAAGTTAAACTAAGAAAAATAAGAGTGTGGCTTGTTTCTAAATTTATCTTAGTGTTGATACTACTAATATTGTTGCTTAATAATACCTGTTTTAAGAGGTAAGGAGGTTGTGGGGTTTCTGAAGGGTATCTCTGTTAAATCTGTTATAAATTCTCTCTGGTTCTCTGATCTAATAAGATTCTCTGGTTTCTCTGGGATCTGATAAATGGTACGCTTATTTCTCTAATAGCTTTCAAAGAGGTGAGAATGACTAAGTAATATTTCTGATTTACTTTTCTGTGGCCAAAATATGAGTTAAGGGATGTTCTAAGGGGCTCTAATATTCTCTGGATTTCTTAATCAAGGGGTGATGAAAGCTAATTAATATCTCTAATTACTATTCTGAATCTAGCATCAGGTTTTGACACCTGTGTGGATCCAATTCATCTGCTGGGGTTTTAGTTTATCATTATTAACCTTCCAGACATGTTTCCAACAGTTTCTGTCAAAAATAAATTTGGCCATTTTGGTGCGGTGAGCTGACCCAGCTCAGCCCAGCTCCCCTGCACATAGAGCTCAACCCAGCTCTACACATCTCCTGTACAAACCTCAGCCAACCCATCCAGCTCAACCCAGACAGCTCCATCCAGCTCCCACTCAGCCAATCCATCCAGCCCAACCCAGCTCCACGCAGCTCCAAACAGCTCCCTACACAGCTCCATCCAGCTCAACACAGCTCCACACAGCTCCACTCAGCCCAACCCAGCTCCACGCAGCTCCAAACAGCTCCCTACACAGCTCCACGCAGCTCCCTACACAGCTCCATCCAGCTCAACCCAGCTCCACACAGCTCCCACTACACAGCTCCACTCAGCTCAATACAACTCCATGCAGCTCCACACAGCTCCACACAGCTCCCACTCAGCCAATCCATCCAGCTCCACGCAGCTCCCACTACACAGCTCCACTCAGCTTGATCCAACTTCATGCAGCTCCACACAGCTCCCCACAGCTCCATCCAGATCAACCCAGCTCCACACAGCTCCACTCAGCTCAACCCAGCTCCACCCAGCTCCACCCAGCTCCCTACACAGCTCCATCCAGCTCAACCCAACCCCATGCGGCTCCACACAGCTCTCATCACACAGCTCACCACAGCTCCATCCAGCTCAACCCAACTCCACAGAGCTCCACACAGCTCCATCCACAGAGCTCCACACAGCTCCATCCAGCTCCTACTCAGCCAATCCATCCAGCTCAACCCAACTCCACACAGCTCTACACA